GGAGCTCCTGGTCGGAACCAAAGATCTGACGAAGAAAATCCACTGAAAGACGACGGCGTTGTTGGTCTCCAATAACCCGCGGAGCGACACCCTGCCTCACCGAACAAAAAGGCAGCGTTAGTGGTGGTTGGAAACACGTTAACTAACAGATAATAAACCTGCTAATTAACGGGACAGTAAAGCTTCTCATCAGGGTTTGTAAACTGGCTACATGCAGAACTACTGAGAACTATATCAGCCTCAGTTGTAGGTTCCGTGACGGGAGAACTCGGATAATCCGACGGAGGGGGGAATTCGGATAAGCTAGATACGCTCTCGAAGGAACAGTCTTCATCCCATGAAAAGGCACCAGCGGAGCAACCTGTCACCCATAGACTATGACGCCCAAGATTATCTCGCAACGCTCTCCATCTGCTCAAGGCCCTACACAACAGATGTCGGTCTAACAACTTGCCTGGGCTTTGCCTGTCCAATTTCGCAATTTTCTGCTTCCCAACGCGAACAAGACGTCGGAGAATGTCACGATCCTGAAGTGCAAACAGTTAACGGGAAAGGCGGACATACCATTGGAAGCAGCGCGCGGAAAACCGTCGAGTCGAGCGAACAACCGGACAACACAGGGAACAGGCGAGCGCAAACTAAGAACAATATGTCGGAGAATAGTGTGGACAAACACAACAGGATGTTCAGTTCGCGGGATATGCGAAAAATGTTGCATCCTTCACGAACTGACGGGTCGACACACAGGAACGAGGTTTCGCCCAGGTTTCCGGGATCGGTTTTGTTCTTGTCATCCAGAGGCCCGGTACGTTCGAAATCGGTTTCGTTTTTNGCGGATTTCTAGTTCGTCTGGTTATACAGATATACGTACTAAACTCAATTCTCACAGAAAGTTTCACTTTACTTGAGTGGGTTTTTAACTAAGAGCATTGGGCGGCTAACGGCACCGCAATTTTTTATTAGAAAATCGAAAGTCTAACCGTTGGTGATGTAGGCAAGCTGATCCGAAGCTGGGAAACGCTCTTTTCTGCGGAACCTTTGTTGTTGAAACGAAAGTTTCGGCACAAACTTGTTGCATGCTGTTGTATATATTCTCAAATTGAAAATCACTTCAAGCCTATTTTCATTTTTTCGTTTGTTTCATATCCTTGGTGTAATTCGTCGGAGCTTGTTCATTTGGTGTATTTTTGTAAGATAATATGCACAAGCCGTATCGGATATACCGCAAGGTTTTATCTTCACTGATAGGCCGAGTGTTTGTTAGTGTTATGTGAATTAGTGTGTTTGTAAGGTGCCCCATCAGCCACTACACTTAGGTGGCCGGTACTTTAATTCTAGTAAAGATTCAGTGGACTCGGACGGTGTTACGGGTGCATTTGCACATTCGGTCGGAAAATAGCAGAGATATGGTTAGCTACGGGCGATGCCTCCAGACTGTGTCTGGAAGCTGCGGTACCGTCGTCACGTCGCAGCTGGGTCCATGGACAGCTCCGTTCGTGAACATCTTTGGCAGATCGGTTGGAGTTATCTAGGTAGTCGGTTAGCATTGAAACCGCGATAAATCAGGACCAACGTGGACCGTGAACATTTTGGGGTCCGTCGAGTGCGCAAGGTTGCTCAGTACTGTGATCCAAACTGGTCGATAAGTCAGTCTGAGGACTCAGGGAACGAAAGTGTCAAAATTGTCTGCTAGAGGGCTCTAAAGCATTGGTCAGCCTGTGCTCCGAAATAGCTGAAAGCTTATGGTGGTCGCAGTTTCAAAATACTTTAATTAGGCGACGCTGTTCGATTTCCAAAACTATAATCGACATTCAGCTGGAGACATTAGTGGATGTATACGTGTGGGGCTGCCACTGAATAGGCGGCGGTGTTCAGGTTCTGGAAACAATATAAGGGGGTAAACTGTGTGAAGGTGCGACAAATTCTTCGGCCTCGTATTTGACAGTAGGGACGCAACCGTTTTAGATACGATGGATTGCAAAGCCATATCCTCGGAGGGACATGGTGAGTGACATCTGAAAGCATGGCTCTTTGAATTTTGTCCACAGATGCTTCAGTAATGCTCCTACTTGTTCAGCTGGTGTAGCGGCTGATCGAACCGGGCGTATGGGCTGCTAGCACACTAGTGTGACTGATTTGATTGTCATGAGGCGGAAAAAGATGGTAATATGTGAGATACAAAGCTGATAGATATTTTTGTGTAGTTTGAGAGGGATGGGGCCGACAACTTAGTGCCTTGGAGTACTACATCAACCCTAACATTACCACAGGCAGTAAAATGCCCACCATCGTTCGATTTGACTGCATAGCAGGCCTGGTTTTCCGGTGGGCTCAATAAGCTGAAGCTATCCTCCCTCACCCTCTGTCGACATTGATAGACCGCAAATGATGTGGGCCAAATGGCTGCCCGTCGAACGTCAAATGCGGTATGCAATGCCAAACCTGCAAGGCCTGGTGGCACTTCAAATGCGCGGGTTCATAGGACGACGATTCTGGCCGCCTTCCTTCTGCTTGGAAGTGGGCGATTGTCAATCCACCAAACTGGTGACCGATTATCGCTTGGCAGCTATAGGTCTATAAGCCTCACCGGCGTGCCGTGCAAGGCGATGGAAAGCATTCTGAGGCGACCTATCCTAGATCACCTTACTTCCAGCAATCTGACATCTCCAGCTCAACACGGATTTCTCCCAAACCGCTGTTGCCTGACAAACATGCTTGTACTAATGAACAGCTTAACCCAAGCCAAGGACGAAGGACTCATATCGTTCGCCATAGTTTTCGACTTCTCAAAAGCCTTCGATAGGGTCCCACGCGTCCCGCTGCTCCACAAACTCGAGTCTTACGGGATTCAAGGGAAAATCCTTCGCTGGATCAAGGCGTTCCTATCAGACAGAACATTCCGAGTGAGAATAGGCTCGACCTATTACTCTCCGGCGCCGGTCTCCATTGGAGTTCCTCAAGGCTCCGTCTTCGGACTACTCCTGTTTCAGATCTACGTCAACGACCTCCCAGACATTCTTGCGAGTCCATGTTTACTTTTTCCGGAAGAATTGAAATCCTGGAGTTCCAATGCCAGTGCCCTCCAAATGGATGTAGACGCTGCCAAGCAGTGGTCGTTGGACTGGCACCTTCCTCTGAATGATGAAAAGTGCGTCCATGTGTCGTTTGGAGGGGATTCAGCGAATGCCTTTGTTATGCATAGTGAAAAGGGACCAGGAAATATCATGAGGATAGATGCCAAAAAGGATTTGGGCATCTGAGTCTCCTCAAACTT